GCTAAAATAGAGGAGCCAAAAAAGGAGAACTGTGTTCCAAAGTTGGTATCTGCTGCAGTGCCAATTGTATTTGTTGTTGTAGTGTTGACCGAAATTCTTCCCTAATTTCTTCAATTTGTTTCATACTTTGTTCCTTATCTCTTTCCCTTGCTGAAACTTCATTTGCAAGCTTTTGTTTTAATTCTTCAACCTCTTGTTGATGCTGCATTCTTTCTTGTTGGGCTAAAACTTCACCGTGGGATGCATCTTCTTCTTTGTGTTTCAGTAGAGCACTTCGTGTTGGATATTTCGCCATGTATCCACGCTTCTTGTAGTAAAAGAAGTTCCTGACTCCATAACCAAACTGTTCTTTAAAATATACCAGGTTATGAAATGAGATATGAGCTCTGTCTACATCAGTCTCGACGAATTCGTCATCCTCAGGTTTCCCCTTGCATTGGAAATAAATTGTCCACACCTCACCCGTCAATGGTTCACTGTATGCATATAGAGCAGAAAAACATCATTGTGTGGTGTAAGATATTACTTAGACTTGAATTCAACAAAATTAGCAAAATGTGATTGCAATACAAGAGGCAATATTTTTCTCATTATAATGAGGCTTTGATTAATAATTTCTCTATTAGCATGGACTCATCAAACTTAAAAAACCAAATATAAATTATTGGAACAATATAAAATATATGCATGAGCAGGTTCGGCAATCAGGCAATATAAATAGTGAGGGCATAAATTATTGACAATCACTATTGGCAATCAGGCAATCAAGCAGGTTCAGCAGTTTCAGTATAAATTGTTGGCAATATAAATTATATGCATCAGGTAGCGAATATAAATAGTGCGGGCATAACAGTATGTCAGCAGGTTAAGCAATATGCATCAGGACTGCTTATTGATGCATAGAAAATAGCACTGAAATTTAAATATGCCTGATTGTCAGCAGATTCAGCAATTTGCTTTTTGTTCATACACAATGCAGGTTCAGCAATTAGCAGAGGCAAAATATTGTGCCAGCGGTGATGATTTTATGAACTAAAATAATACCAGATACTAATCCAAATATAAATATTATAGGTCTCTTTATGCTAAGCAGGAAAGTTATTCGTCAAGGCAGACTTTATACAACAACTTTGATAGATAAATGCAGATTGAATGATCTCTTCCTCGACGCACGCATGCGCCTTCAACACTACAACATGCATGCGCCTGCAACACTACAACACCCACGCATGCGCCCAAACAGCTTTGATCGATCGGCCGACACCCATCACGTAAGCCAACTAACAACAATAGTAGCACGTACCTGTTGTAGAGAAAACGTAGTGTCCCTGAGCCATCAACGTCGTGGCTGTCATCTTCTTCGTGGACGTGATCTTCATTAGGAGAACGGCGCCTCTCTTCTGAAGATTGAGGTGCGGAAGATGGAGGCGTGGACGAAGGAGGTGGCATCACGGCGCGCTTGCGTATGGCGTCGAAGGAGGCAGCCACCGTGGGTGTGTCCATCAAGCCGCCGTCGTGGTCTCCGTGGTCGCCGCCGACGCTTTACCTAGTGTGAAAAAATGACAGCCCCCACATGCACCGTTTCAGAAAGGGGCACGCCAAAGGAGTGGTGGGAGGAGTTATGTGCCGTGATTATTGGATCTAATTCTACCGGTGGGTATTTTGGCAGGCTATTCCGAAAATTAAAGGCGTGATTATTGGATCTAATCCTACCGGTGGCTGTTTTGGCGGGCTACTTGCGAAAATCAAAGGAGGGAAACCATGCGTGGTGGAAAAAAAATAAAAAATGTTATAATCATCAGAGCCTAATAAAAATAAAATATACTAAATAGGCAAATAAAATAATTATCTACTTTTCTAAGGCAAGGTAAAAGTATGTATTATTTTGTTTACAAAAATAGCACAAAATATAGCTAATCATATCGATTTTAAATGGTACTCATCAGAAGTAAAGAAAATAATAAACTATACTCCCTCGGTCCTAAAATAAGTTTTTTTAAATTTGACTAATTATAGACAAAATAATATCAATATTTGTATCTCTAAGTAAATTTATTAGGAAAATATATTCTAGAACTAATCTAATGATACTTATTAGGTATTAACAATTTTTTTATATCAAATTCTTCTAGCATGCCTAACCATGTGTTTGGATTGAGGGTTCACCTGGGTTGGATGGATTGGACCTAGATTTGATAGTGTTTGGTTTGGGGTTCAAGTGGGTTGGGTTTGTTCCTGTAGGGAATATCGGGTTCGACCAACTCCACCAAATTGGGCGAACCGCGTAGACCCAGATGAAGCCTGCGCGTGCGGAGGGAGCAGCTGGACTGAGCAGTGGCGCGTGCATGGCGGATGTGTAGCCGAGGCCATGGTAACCTAGCAGCGGCGCGACGCGAGTTGATCTAACCAAGTAGCCCGGTCTACGACTCCTGGTTCTCTCCCCTGGCCATAGCTGACAATCGAGTGGGTGTTCCTCCCCTTTCAATATCCTTTCTCCTCGGCAGCGATTGAGTGGGAGGCGGTGGATTTGGGAGCGGTGGGAGTGGAGGCGGGAGCAGGGGGAGCTGTGCAGCATCAAAGATCGAGCGCGGGTGGAGCTGTGGAGGGTGACTGGGCAAAGAAAGATGGGGAGAAGAAGGTGGTAGAGGATGATACATGGGGCCTATTTGTTAGGGATCGATCTCAACCCCTCTTGAACCAAACATAAAACATGGGGCAATCCTATCCCTCTAACCAAACAAAGAATGGGTCCAATCCTACCCAAAAAACAGGGATAGAGCCAACCCATTCCACATGGTTTCTAATCCAAACACACGCTAAATATCAAATTCTTGAGGACTGGGCTTTCTCAATTCTTGTCAAACCCTTAAAAATGACGTGGCGCTTACTGGGAAAATTACATGCACAAGATGATTTGAGGATGTAGCAAGTAATTTGAGAGCATATATAGCCAAGCTTGTCAAGATCCCAATGCATTTTCCTACAATGTTATCACTATGATCATATCAAGAGAAACTATCAGTGTGTTTGGATAGCGTCACGGGATGGTCCTGGAACCATCTAAACCTAAAACCAAGCCTACGAATTCGTTTGTACTACGGTGTGGAATGGTCCCATTCGTCACAGACCGATACTAAATGAACTTTATCGTATTGCGATTCTTAATGAGTCTTCTACTGTTTCCACACGATCCTACAAAGAATATATAGTATCACGATACAACTGTACTATGATACGATAGTACATAATAATTGATATAAATAAGTTTTTTAATTCAAATGTACTAAAATATTATCTAAAGCTAGTTGCATGGAACATAATGTCTACAAGTGATCTTACATATACAAAACTCAATTAATTTTTTAAAAATTAAAATGGTAGCATTTAATCTTTCCAATATAGTACAAATGTGATAGTATCCCGATACTACGACCTCATCCTATGATTCGGTACTGTCATGTTCGTGAACAATCATGGCCCCCAGCCTAGTTCAGTTAAGGTTAGAAAACACAGTTCAAATGTGGACGATGATGTCGTGCCTCTTAGATGATTATGTGGCCCCTAGTTTAGTAAAGCACATATTATTTGTGTTATTGGGCCAAAGGGAAAATATATAAGTAAAAAATAGAAAAGAAATTGTAAATATAAATACGAAATAGGTAAAAAATTTAAACAATAAGTAACAGAAAAAGATGGCAAAATTTATAATGTAAATAAGAAATAGGGATTAAAAATATCAATATGTCAAAAATCCAAAAATAAAAAGTTTTTGTAGTATGTACTCTCTCTGTCCCTTTTTAAGTATTGATATGGTATTTATACTGATCAAATTTTCTTGAGTTTAACTAGGTTTATAGAAAAATATTTGCAACATTTGAATTTCTAAATAAGTTTATTAAAAAATAGATTTAACAATCTATCTAATGATATTAATTTAAAAATTTTATCAGATTCATATTCGTATCATTAATGATATTGGAATGGAGGGAATACCTTTTTAATGGAAACTTAATAAGTTAACATATCCTGATTTCTACCCACTTCTTATAGTTACTTGGTATTGGAGCAACATTTGAAGGCATCTGTGTCAGTGCTGTGAGACCCAAAAAGAAAAAAAAACTAGTATATATGGTTTGTAAACCTGTGTAATTCAAAATTTCAAGGGACCAAACCACACCCTTTTAACATTCTCAAAAACTTTCATCACGAAAATCTAAATGTGTTGGTAATTTTTTTTTCATTTTGTGGATATTCAACATGCCATTATCTACATATGTGTAGTTTTAAAAAAAAACAATCCTTTTAACTATGATTTGTATAGTTTATACTCCCTCCATCCCAAATTGTAAGTCATTCCAAGAATCTTGGAGAGTCAAACTTTTTCAAGTTTGACTAAAATTATAGAGAGAAACACAAAGATTGATGACATCAAATAGATATAATATGAAAATATAACTAATGAAGAATCTAATGATACTTACTTGGTATGATAAATATTATTATTTTGTTATATAAATTTGGTCAAACTTGAAAAACTTTGACTCTCCAAGATTTTTGAAATGACTTACAATTTGGGATGAAGGGAGTACTATTTTTAAAATTACTATTTCTATCTATGGAAATTCTGGGTCACGAAACTCGTCTCGAGGCTCCTAGCGGGAAACAAACCCACGAGGCCCTGGACCATCCAGAAGAAGGGCAAGCCGGGGGACAAGGAGGACTTCACCGATCCTCCTCCCACCGCCGCCGTCGCCGCCGCGGCGTCATCTCAGCACCATGCCGCACGCATTCCTCCCTCCAAAATCCACCGCCTGCCCCGTGTTCACCTCATCCACCCCAAACATAGCCGCTCCCCTCCCCTTCCCTTTGCTTCCACAACGCTGCCTCCTCTTCGGGGCGGGGTGGAGGTGGCCAGATCCGTGGCCCGATGTCCCGATCTGCCGGGGGATGGATAGATCCAAGCGGCTGCGGCAAGGAAGACCAAGGGCGCATCGGTGGCGATGGCATCCCCCGCAGTCGGACACGGCAGCAACTGCAAGGCGACCGCCACCCACCCCTTCGGTCACGGCAATGGCAGCACCCATCCAATTCCCGATGGGGACTGCTTCCTCCGTGGCTGCATGTTGACAGAGGTAAAAATTTCCTCAAATATATTTTGGATGACTAAATGTTGCTTTTGCTTTCACGGCTGTAACTCTTCTATTTTTTCTTTGACAATCAGTGAACTCCCACTTCCATTTTCAATTCTCACCATTCCTTTTCTACCTGCAGTCACATGTGCAATATTTATCTTTCCATCTATGCATGCTAACAAAGGCTTTCAGTTCTTTATTATCAGACTAACAGAGTCTAACAATCATATGAAAATAACTAAATGTTGCTTTTGATTGACATGTGAGACAATTGTTTTGATGACTGAATGTTGCTATGTAGGCATGAAGCATGAATGTTGCTACTGAATAGATGCAATGTGGGATGTGGGGCGATTCAGCAACCCTGCTAGTTATATATGGAGTGTCTGTAAGGTTCTTAGAAAAGCTTGTGCTGATGATGACTTATGAGGTGAGTCGACATTAGTATAAATGTTTTATTTCAGTTTGCTCCATGCTCCTCTATGAGTTCTGAATGTCCTAAAAGCTAGAATGTGAAAAACTACTGATTTATGTTGCAGAAAATTATGGAACTCATATCAGTTTCAAGGAAGGAACTCCTATCAGTCTGAAAATAAAATAACTGAAAGATAACTCAGATGTTTGGAATGGTCTACTTGTCTATTCGGTTTAGTAACATTGCTAGTGTTCAGTCTGGCCATTGACCAAGTTCAATGGTCCTTTAATTTATTTCTGTTGGTGCTTCTATTCTTATTTATTTTTCAGCCATTGCCATTGTCATGACCAGAGTTGCTTCTTTTTGTCAGAGGCATGTAATTGGTTATTTTAATGTGGATTTGTGTTCCTCATTTCCCTGCTCCCCCTCAGCCTCCCATGGCTGCAGTGGCTGATCCAGAAAATTAGCAGTGGGTTAGCACTGATAAAAGTTAGTTTTGGACTACAATACTAAACCTTAAGTCATTAAGTGAAGGCAATTTTGCCTAACGACCATCGACACATTTCTAATCAAATCAGGAGCCCAGTGCAATTGCTAATATAAATCAGTCACTACATTCTTTCAGACAAGGCTCAAATCTGGATCAATTTGTTTTGCTTGAGCACCACAACTTAAGCATGCTTGGCTGCACCTTACTGTGCATTGGTAATTTTAGCAGAACAATGAAGCAAGACATGAAATATTGTTAAAAGTCTTCTACCTCTGAATTTTGTTGTTTCCTATGATAGATAATCCACATAACTGAACAAATGTAGCTCACATGACAAACACATTTTATTTTCATTCACATACCTAATCTGTAAACTTTTTAGGTTGATTGTCATTTCCGATTTGGAAGGCGAATATGAAATAGAAAGGAAGTGCAAAGACCAACTGTTTGGATCGGCATCAACAAAAAAGAAGGCTAGTCCAACTTAGTATTGTTTGGATCATGTAACCCTTTCAAATGTTTTCAGCACACATTGCCTGAAATTTTCAGCACTCTACTTTAGCCATGTGTATCAAATGTTTTATGCACTCTACATTACCCATGTCTATCAACCGTTTTTAGGTTGTGACCACCAATCCTTCTGATTCTGAAGGCAAAGCTAACAAAGAAAGGAAGGGCAAGGACCAAATCATCAGCATCAGCCAAGAAGAAGGTTAGTGCAACCTGCAGTTGTTTGGCTGCCTTGGCTAGTTCCGCTCTGAGGCATTTAACGTTACTAACTAAAATTTTGTTGGCTCGGGTAGAAAGTCACCAAGCCCCTAAGCAAAAGGGTTGAACAACTTAGATCGCGCATGGATGATCTGCGAGAGGAGATTGAGAACTAGACCTGAAGCTTGAAGACATGGGGGAGGACATAGACATGACTATGAAAGAGTTCATGGTGGCCGTTGCTGACAGGTTTGAGGACATGGAGAAATGATCAAGCCCCAGAATAACTAAATTCCCAGTAGGTTAACCAGGTCCTAGCTGGTTCTTATGCAGGTTATCATGTAGGCACTTTGGCAACATCTAAGTATGGACATCTATATTGTAAATGCAGTACATGTATCTATGTATTATGTACATTTATATCTATCTATGAGGACCTAGCTGGTACTTACATCTATCTGTATATTCAAGTTCGTGTTATCAGCTATATAGCCTGATTGTTACTGGATCAAGATATACTGATGACATTATATAAGAACTTGTTATTCTTATTGTGAACGATTAAAAAATAATACCAGTAAAAATGTGGAAAATTGGAAATAAATGTAAATATCTTGTTACTGTTTGATAATAGTTAAGCACATCTATGGCATAAACACAACAAAGCTAATCTTCTATTAAACTTGTGTCACACTGATCAGAAAGATGAGATTGACACAAATAGAGTAGCATTTCTCCAGTTTTAAATTAGAATTTATAAGGTAAATGCAACATGTGAAGACTGTGGATGTGGGCAAGCACTATGAATGCAAAACGGTGCCAATGGATGAGGCGTTGCTTTGTCCATAACAATATTGCGCAGCTCATGAACCACGCCTTAAATCAAACAAAAATTTGCGCAGCTCATGAACCAAGATATACTTGTTGTATGGGCCAAGAGCTGATCATGTCCCAATGCTGCTAAAGCCTGGTGCCACTAGGTGTTGCGCTGGGTTGGCCGGGCCGCCACCTTCTGCATGTGCTGTGATTTTTTTTCTTGTTTTTTTTTTTACTAGCTTTTAACTTTAGGATGGTAGGCTGGTCTGACCCCTTTGTTTTTGGCTCAGATGCATGATAAGTAATGCCTATGGACAAATTTTAATGGCAATATCACTCTTCTTGCAACGACATATACTCAATATAGCCACATGTAAAGTTGATGGCAATAGAACCTCAACAGATGCAACGAATGCCTTTTTGGTTGCAATATAATAAGATCTTTTGCAACGTAGGGCAAGCTAAGGCAACAAAGTTTCATCATGGCTATATTCGCAACTACTTGCAACTAATCATTTTTTGGATGCAATATAGATCTGATCTATCACTACGCAGGTCAAAATTAAGACAACGTAATTACTTTATTACCATATGTGCAACTACTTGCAACCAACTTTACAGTGGTGGCAACAACACCTAGCTATCGCAACGCAACATCAATGTTATCACAACTCAACACTAGCTATGGTAATAGGCACCCATACCCGCAACCACCTTTTCCACCATGGCATTAGCGCCTACCTCTTGCAACAGAGTTTATGACTAACGCAACACACAATCTTGGTGGCCATAAGGCCCATATATTGCTACCAATTATGACGTTTGTTGCCATAGAACCAAATATTGCAACCAAATGTGTGGTGTTGCGAAAACAAGTGGTGCTATAAGCATCAAATCCTTGTAGTGTGCATGCAGTCCCCATCTCGTTGACCGTCTTTTGCAGAATGTTCTTGATTTGTTTATTTGATGTTTTTGGTTGGCCACTTGTCTGAGGGTGATATGGAGTAGTGTCATTGTGACAGATCCTATCACAGAACCGACCAATTTATAAGAGCACAAGTACAAAAATAATCGCCGAAACGATCAAATTCTCGAACTTGAGCCCATATAAACCCGGTAGTCAACTGAAATCTCGAAGGATTTCAAACCAACTTGCATACAACCAAGATCATAGTAATTCAACATAACATATCATACGTTACAACATTTCGCAGACGTTCGCAATAGATTACATCATCACAGAGTCATCGTTATTACAAAACCAGTCTTGTAAAACATGCGGAAGCAAATAGTTTAACTTACACACCCGAGTTCAAATACACATACTGGTTTGCTGATCACAGCCCGCAAAAGCATTCAGATAAAAGAACAGAGATCATGCCCATGATCTAGTCTTCATCACCCGCCGGGTGAAGACAATACTTATAGAATCCCTGATATAGAAGGTCATCTGCAACAAGAGGAAATAAACCCTGAGTATGAGAATGTACTCAGCTAGACTTACCTATCGACAACCAAACAAATGACACCAAGGATTATGCATAGCTTAATGTAGTGGATCTGGCTGACACTTTCTTTTTGCAGAAAAGCATAAGTAATAATGATCAACTCTTAACCTGAACTAGCAGTGACTTTTAGCCATTTACCTATCAACTATATTAGCACCTGTACTAAGCAATCATTTTATTAGGGTGCAAACATTAATAACCATATCAGGTATTCATTGTGGCAACCTTATCATCATCATCCATTTAACCATATCGTTAAATTAATTGAATCTATGTTGCCGCTGCTCAGTCAAGTTCTCACTATCCGGGAGAGACGGCGATTCGAATCGATTCCTATCTAGCTAGAGGGGTATTCCTAAACACAAACCCTGCTTCCCCCATCAGGGTCGCAAACAAGTCACCTTTGGTATGATTCAGGAGTCGCGAGTCTGAACAGATCGACATTCTCAGAGAACCACTCTGCCAAGGTTGTTCGGGACTCTAACCCGTCTTGGACTTATGCCAATGGCTCTCCACACATCCTTACTACCTCCAGAATGCACGCCACTGCTCGCGTCCCCGGCCTTTGTCAAGCTACTCAGCTTCGCGGTCGGAACGACTTATCCGGCCAGCTAAGTGTTAGGCTGCGTTCAACATGACATGAGGACGTACAGCGTATCAGTCCTTAAACGACTCAGACGGAGTCACTATGTTCAAACCTACACAAGACTCCACCCGGTCTTAATTCATTATTCACATGGTTCTTTTCCACGATAGCAAATATAGCCAACCGTGATCCACCTCATCCTAAAGCTCGCAGGTGATAGGAAATCACCTGACTTCTACCGCACTAAGCATGGCTAAGCATTTAACCCGTTTCTGAACTTAAATGGGATTCCAGTGCGATATCTGGACAAGGAAGGATATATAATGCAGCAATTGGTTCCAACCAATTCCTACACTTAATGCATCATCAACAATAAAAGATACTCAATGTATTTGTAAAAACATGGGAGGCTTAATATGCTCCGGGGCTTGCCTTTCAGGAAAGAGGATGGACGGTGGTCAGGGCACTCGGGCAACTCCTCCTCGGCGGCTGCTTCTTCGGTTGCCTGCACCTCGGGCTCCTCCTGGCTCGCTCCCTCGAACTCTAGCAACGCTACTCCCTCACGCACACCTATTGCATGAATGCGCAAGATAAATATCATGGATGCACATGAACGAATGTCGAGATGCTCGGGAATGCGCATGTTCGGCATGGTTTGCATATTCCAACTTACGCCCTATTCAAATCACTTTACTTACCAAGTTTATACAACCTAATGTATAATTGCTCATCTTCAGTTAATGACCTAGCACCTGCACCTAAGCATATTCTCAAGTTAGGCTAACCCCTAAACAATCAACGAGAACATTGCAACAACATACACTCAAGCATTTGTATTTCAGCAAAATGAACACTATGTAGCTGTACAGTAAACTAGCCATAACTAGAGATTTATAAATCCAATTGACATGCAACAAGACAATTTGGAAAGCTTATAAAATTGTCTACAATTCATTTTCAGATCTCAAAGCATGATTCAACACTTTACTAGATTGAATTCTTTGATCAACAGAACTCTGTCCTCACAAGGCAGAGAGTAAGCAAAATAGGAACCTAACTTTAAACAGATGTAGTTTCTAAACTACTAAGCCAAATTCCCTCAAATTTTGATAGAAGCTAGATACATAAATTATCTACAACTCTTGTATTCATCACATTCACAGAAAACCAAAAAATCATGGGTAACTTTCTAAAGTCCCCAGATCTGTCCAGATAGACATAATGCAAACGAAATAATTAATAACTTATGATGTAAACACATAATTGGACAAAACTAACTCTACTCACATATCACTCATATCACATGAACACTAGAAAGTAGGGTGTTCATCACCAAAACATTTCTTTTAATACCTTTCTTAATTTATTTAATTAATTAGAGGAAATGGTAAACATATATTAAAACTACACCATTAAATCTACAAAAATTACAGTCGATACTACATGCTCTAAGTAGACTACCATAAAAATTTCACACCATTTGAGTAAGTATAACAGCCTACACAAAAATGATAAGGCATAATGGCTTAAAATGGCATAATTAGGAAACCCTAATGAAAAGTGTCAAGCAACAGATTTTATATTTTTCTTAGCATCCTTAAGGTACTAAGATACTACCTACCAAGTTTCATGGCCATAGGATTCCTAGATAATTTACAAAAATTCACACAACTATCCAACAATGATAAAAGGAAAATGTATAACTCAAAAACTACACATGCAACGTCTCTCAAATTTTAACCAGAGCTTCTACTAAGCAATACTAGCTTACCCACAAAATTTCACAATTTTTGGATCACAGAAACTCAAGATATGATTTAAACAAGTTTGCATGCATTCAAAAACACATTTCAAGTTCCTATTTAATTCATTCAAAATTTCTACATCATATGCTCATGTCATATTTTTCTTAAATACTAGACTTCACTGTGATCCTAACAAAATTGGAATCACACCATTTGGATCTACATATTTGGAGTTGCAAAATTCACAAAACAGCATAGAAATCTGTAAATTTGAACTATCCTACAACAGAACTATCACTGACACGTGGGACCTGCCTGTCAGCCGGACCAACTTGTCATCGACACCAGAACAGGGGAGGCGCTCGCGATGGCGCGGCCGCGGTGAAGCTCGCCGACGGCGACTTCATCGACGACGAGGAGGGTACCTCCGTGACTACCTCGACCTCCCGCATCGATTGACCTACTCAACCTA